TCCCTGACGCAGCCAGCGGCAATGAGCATGTTTTCAACCACTCAGAGAAGTATGCTGGAGAGTCATGTCTGTGTGAGAGAGTTCCGCCTGCCCAATGGAATGCTCACACCGCTCTACCCCGTGCACCAAAGCACATGAGAGCAAGAGGGCTCCAGGTGAACCCCAGTCCCACAGAGAAAGGAAGGATGATCATGAATCATTTATTTATAAATTGGCTTCACCAGGTGTCCCGGGTGAGGTGGAAAGGGAGAAAATGGCATGGAGAACCCTGGGTGCACAAGGGCACGCCCATGGCCCTGGCTCAGGCAGCCTCCCTCTGTGAGCACCTCCCCAGTCCCCACAATGAAACAGCAGCCAATGGTCACTACCACAGGATCGAATGGAAGAGGTCGGTGCCTTCTAGGACTTTCTGAAGCATGCAAAGTCAGGGGTTGTTTTCCCCTGGCCTGCAGCTGGACGTGACACATCCTCATTCTGGGCTAAGGATGGACTCAAAAGAAAGGGCCAGTTCAGAGAGCCCCTCTCCCACAGAAAGAGAGCAAACTGTGAGGTTTTCATCAGGACACTCCCCACTTCCCTCCCGCTAAGCATGGGTTCCACTTAGAGAACAGCGCACCCAGCCAGACCAGAAGGACACACCAAGGCAGAGATGACCAGGTAGGTGCCCCTGGAGCCCCACAGGTACTTGGCCAAGGGCAGCTGAAAGCCACCAGGGCTCCAGGGTCCGACAGAAGTCCAGCAGTGCCTGTAGGGCAGGCTGGCATTTAACAGTGGCCAACAGACAATTATGCTGCAAGCTGGCAAGGTCTGCAGAGAGACAGGCAACTGGGCAGCCGTGAGTGGAGCTCTCCTATGAAAACTGCCCCGGGTGGAGGCAGGGGCCAGAGGGCTGAGGATAATGAAGTCGCGGTGGCTGTCAGCACTCAGTGCGGGGCCTGCTTAACAAACACCACAGCTGCTCTGCAATGAGCGCCGACTGTCAGCAGCCTCTGCAGTCATCTGGGCGGCTGCTGGCAGAATCCCCTGGGGAAATTTGCAAGAACATTTCTGCTCCTCACATTTTTTTATTTTCATATCTTTTACTATTATTATTAAATGTATTGGGGCGGCATTGGTCAACATGAACCTAAAGGTTTCAAGCGTGGGTTTCTGTGTTACAAGATCTGTATATTGCTCCTCACACTTAGAACTTGCCCTCGTTGCTCATAACTTAAACACGCACTTAGGGAGCCGGTGGCCATCACCAGCCTCCGAGGCCTTGCGATTACAGGCCATTGGAGCCTCATTCCCAGGGAGCCCAGGCCGGGTCTCCTGCCTCTTACCACCCAGTGGTGAGAGTGGAGGTTGACTGCCGTCTGATCAGGCTGGTCCTATGCAACCAAAAGTGTGTGCTTAGGATGTGTGTGGGCTCCTCTTGCTCTGAGCTCGCTCTCTCTCACTCACTAAGACACAAAGTCCATAAACTGTTCATAAGTAAAATAAAGACCTGTAGCTTGGGCCCTGCCCAATGCCTGTTCCCCATTTGGGTCAAAGCACCCTGAGTGTCTGGGAAATAGCACCTCCCCCACCTCAGACTGTGTGCTTTGGTGGATGACATCATTCTCAACACTCTAATGCAGTGGTTCTCAACCTTCCTAATGCCATGACCCTTTAATACAGTTCCTCATGTTGTGGTGACCCTCAACCATAAAACTATTTTCGTCCCTACTTCATAACTGTAATTTTGCTACTGTTATGAATTGTAATGTAAATATCTGATATGCAGGATGCATTTTTATTGTTACAAATTGAACATAATTAAAGCATAGTGATTAATCACAAAAACAATATGTAATTATATATGTGTTTTCCAATGGTCTTAGGCGACCCCTGTGAAAGGGTCGTTCGATCTCCAAAGGGGTCGTGACCCACAGGTTGGCAACCCACAGGTTGAGAACCGCTGCTCTAGTGTATCCTTGTCCTATGGCCAAAGTGAGTGATTCAAAGGTGGCACAATTCAACCTGAGCCCATGAGAATCAGTCCTGAGTTTTTGCTGAGAATATTGGGAATGGATGTCTTTCTAAGAGGAAAGTGTAGCTAGAGTTGGTAGGATAAAAACAGAGCTTCAGGTAGCAATTTTGCCCTCAATGGGAAGAGGCTGCCCGAGAATAAAACCAACACAGAGGAAAGCAGATATTAAAGATATGAGACACAAACCAGACCACTGATGACATGGGCTGAGCCTCCGGAATCAGCCCGACCTGAAGTTCATCCCCTGCATTTTTTCAAATGCATCAGCCAATAATTTGTCTTAATTTGCTTAAGCCAGTTTGAGTTGAGTATGTATCACTTGTAGCCAAATGTCTTAATACAATAAACCTTGACACAGTAATCCCATGTCCAAGAATCTCTTTTAATGTCTAAGAAATGGAAAAACTCTTTAAACACAAAAAGTTCATAGTAGGTTTATGTAATTTATAATCACAAAACACAATCTAAATGTCCAGCAGTAGGGTAATGGTTAAAGTATGGTTTGTTCAAAAAACTGTGCACCTGAAACCAGTATAATTTTGTTAATCAGTGTCACCCCAATACATTCAATAAAAAGGAAAAATAGGCTACATGTAGCTATTTTTTAAATGTTTACAAAAAGTAGTGTTGTTTAATGCTTATATTAGCGTAGTAGTTAGAATAATGCTATTGATGATAAACAGGTGTTATATTTGGTGCCATCAGTACTGGGAAATGATGGGTCTGCCTAATATAGGTGCAGACTGAATGGAGAGCTCAGGACAGGCTTTACAGAGAAGGTGACATTCGAACGAAGACTTAAAGGAGGTGAGGGAATGAGCCATGCAGGCACTTAGAGGAAGAACCTTCCAATGGGAAGAGTCCATGCAAAGGCCCTGAGGCAAAGTGCCTGGCCTGTTTGAAGCTATCAGCAAGAGGGAGGAGAGGAAAGCTATCCCATATAATAAAAACCTAGCGACCAATCAGCAGAACGACCAGGACGACCTGTAAACCAGTCACCATGACGCGTACTGACCACCAGGGTGAAGGCGCTCAACGCAAGCGCTGC